TTTAGTAGACAGGGTTTCACCATGTTAGCCAGGCTGGTCTCGAACTCCTGGCCTCAAGCTGTCCACCTGCCTTGGCCTCCCAAACTGCTGGGATTACAGGCATGAGCCACCGCACCTGGCCAATTTTAGTTTTAATTTAAAACAAGAGCTTTTTATTATAAAATAAGCCACATACTAACTTTAGAAATTATTCATTTACCTTATAGATTGATGAAGTTTTGAAAAACAATGTCAATAAATAAAAATTTTTACTATGTAGTTTTCTATATAGCTATTTCAGTGCCCTCATGAACACATGTGTTTTAGAATATGAACTTTAAAGTTAAAGTTTAAAAAGCTTCATTGGCTGGGCATGGTGGCTCACACCTGTTATCCCAGCACTTTAGGAGGCTGAGGTGGGCAGATCGCTTGAGCTCACGAGTTCGAGAACAGCCTGGGCAACATGGTGAAACACCATCTCTACAAACATTACAAAAATGAGCTGGGCATGGTGGTGTGTGACCATAGTTCTAGCTACTTGAAAGGCTGAGGTGGGAGGATCTCTTGAGCCGGATGTCAAAGCTGAAGTGAGCCATGGTTGCACCACTAACACTCTGGCCTGGGTAACAGAGCAAGGAGACCCTGTCTCAAAAATGAAAGAAAAAAGAAAAGGAAGCTTCACGGACTGCTTAGGAAGGACATTCTTTTTATTATCATTATTTTTCGTAGGGGGAAGATCTGACCATGTTACCCAGACTGGTCTCAAATTCCTGTGCTTAACAGATCCTCCTGTCTCGGCCTCCCAAAATGCTAGGATTACCAGCATGAACTACTGTGCCTGGCAAACCTAGCTCTTAACTGTGCAAGAAACCCTATTTTCTTCTCCATAGTTTTTAAGAACCAGCATGATCTAATTTTACTCCCTTACCAGTTCCGAACTTTTGAGAAATCCTGGTACAATCAAAGACCTCAGTTTCCTACTACCTGGTTAGGTGATTGTTAGACTTCAGTATTTAATAGGTAGATTTAATATTATTACAGTCTATTCCCTCTGAAAATCTTGTCAGTGATTTAGGTTATCTCCTGAACACCACTAGGCAGACAGAAATCTAATGTCTAATAAGAGAGAAACATACCAAGTAGTTTGCTGATTGTTCAGATGGTTTTGAGAAGAAAGAGAATCCACGCAAAAATATTTGTTGGTGTATGTCCAATGCTGTCCTTCAAAATGGGTTTTCTTTAGCTAAACGCTCACTTATGTTCAGATAAAATCCCACAGATTTGAACTTCTACGGACTTAATTCAGACTTTCATCAATTTTTGCCTGGTCTATTGGAACAGCCCTCCTATCTTCCTTCCTTTACTTCCCATAGCTCCCCTGTCCTCCACAACATTGCCAGAAGGATTCTTCTGAAACGTGAATTTGATCATATTGTTCTTTTCCTTGTCTCTCCATGGCTCTGAAACAACTAGTTCCAGCCTTTCTTTCTGATATCATTTCCTATTAGTACAACCAAAGGGCCTCACACATCACTGATAGTAACACTTGCTGTTTCCTACTCTATATCCTTGTAAATATTGGTTGCTGAGGCCTGAATGAATTTTTTCCACTATCTGTCCTTTACAGTTCAACTAAAATATCACCTTTAGGAAGCCATTACTCATTCTCCAGATCACCACTTTTTCGTCTGTTTATCTAATGCCTCCTACATCCCCCCTAATGTATTATAATGATTCCTCAGTGTTGCCCCATCAAATTGTGAGCTCTTTGAGGGTTTGAACTGATTTTATTCAAATCTGGATCCTCAGCACTTAGTACAGTACTAGGTACACAGTAAGTACTCAGCATACATGTTTTAAATGAACAGCTTTCCACAGGATAATTCTTTCAGCTCTTCCACAGTCTAGATGAAGACCTCCTTAAATTCATCCAAGTCCCCCCTTTTTTTTTTTTTTTCTTTTTCTGATAGTCTTGCTCTGTTGCCCAGGCTGGAGTGCAATGGCATGATCTTGGCTCACTAAAGCCTCTAACTCCTGGGTTCAAGTGATTCTCCTGCCTCAGCCTCCCTAGTAGCTGGGATTACAGGTGCATACCACAACACCTAGCTAATTTTTTTGTATTTTTAGTTGAGACAGGTTTCACCATGTTGGCCAAGCTGGTCTCAAACTCCTGGCCTCAAGTGATCTGCCCACCTCAGCCTCCCAAAGTGCAGGATTACAGACATGAGCCACCATGCCCAGCCCTAAGTCCCTTTTTATCTGAAGGAAGGTCTCCTGAATATCTATGAGGATTTTGTATTAATGAATAAAGTGACATAAACAGTCTGGCTTGTTTAAGAGTTTGAGGAAAGAAACACAAAAAGCGGCTCAACAGTCAAAGATGGGTTTATTTTGGAGAATAAACCTGAGAGGGGCTTCTGGCCGATTTTTGGTCAGGAGTACTCTCTCTTACAGACTATTTAAGGGTTTTAGGATGAGAGAGCTTATCACAGGCTTGGAATGTTTCTGTGTGGAGGAGAAGTTTATTGCAGGGTTGGATGTCGATTGTTGGAGGGGAGGTTATCTTGGGGCTGCCATCTCTCCAGCCGGAGGGGAGGTTATATCAAGGATGGCATGTCTCTGGTCAAGGAGGGGTTTATCTTAGGATTGGAATGTTTCTGGTCAGAAATGTCATTTGTGGTTTATAGTCATGCTGACCTTAGCCATTAGGCTGATGCCCTTTGGATTTAGGTGGTATTTGATCAAGGGGAACTTTAAAATGGCATTGCGTGTCCAAGATGGCAATGCTCCTGCTCTGTCAATTTAGGTCTCTTCTGAGTTTAGTTCATATGGCCCAAGCTGCCAGAACACGATTGCTCTTATTGAACAAAAGAAATAGAATTCCTTATTTCAGGTTTACAGGAGGAATAAAAAAATGCAAATAAAATAAAAATAAAATAAAATAAATAGAATTTCTGAATACATAGTAAGGGCCTATCAAGCATCCAAGGGACCTCATCAAGATATATACCTTGTCAGAGCATTCAGATGGTTGTTTCATTTTCTCTCATCTTAACTTTTATTTTATTCTATCCCTGGAATCTTGTCTCATTGGATCTGATGGATTTATAGATTACTTTAGCATTACTTGTGGATACATTAAGTTTAACATTTTAAATGGCTAACATTGACTACTCTGCTCATTATTGTCATTTTCAAGGTAATTTTCTTAGCTGTCTGTAATGCGTGTTTGTTTCTCTTTTCTTATTTATTTATTTATTTTGAGATGGGGTCTCATTCTGTCACCAAGTTGGAGTGCAGAGGCACAGTCTTGGCTCACTGCAACCTCTGCCTCCCATGTTCAAATGATCCTCCCACCTCAGCCTCCCTAGTAGCTGGGACCACAGGTGTGCATCACCGTGCCTGGCTAATTTTTGTATTTGTGGTAGAGACGGGGTTTTGCCATGTTGCCCAGGCTGGTGTCGAACTCCTGAACTCAAGTGATCTGCCCATCTTGGCTTCGCAAAGTGCTGGGATTACAGACATGAGCCACTGTACCCAGCCTGTTTCTATTTTTAACTTTGTTTTGTTTTTGTAAATAATCTTTTGTATTGGAAATAATGTGGCTATCCCTGACTCATCATGTGGGGTTTGATTGACTGCTTCTTTGACATTCGCTGAACTTAAAGAGTTGTTTTGGCTCATCATTCTTTCACCATTTTTTCTAAATATTTTGTTTATTGAAATATTTTTTTTCAAATGTGAGGGTACTAATTTTTTTTTTCATCTGTCTCTTTTATTCACAGCTATAACTTTAGCAGCTAGACCAGTGCCTGGTGATATTGGGTGGTTAATAAATATCTGTTCAATTAATGAGTGAACATTATAAATCAAATCCTTTTTTTTAATGTCTCAACTCCTAGTATTGGTTTAATATACACACAAACTGATTTTTTCTTTTCTTGAAACCAGCAAAATTCTTAACATGCTTGTAATCCAATAAAACCATTACAAATGTGTTTTTAATATTTTCTTAAAGAATAAACTTTTTAAAAAGTAAATTGGCTTTCTCATACTCAGTTACACAATCTGAGAGTTGTTTTCATTTTTTATTTTTGAGACAGGGTCACTGTCACCCAGCCTGGAGTGCAGTGGTGCGACCTCCCTAGGCTCAAGCATTTCTCCCATCTCAGCCTCCCAAGTAGCTGGGACTACAGGCATGCACCACCACGCCTGGCTAATTTTTTAAATTTTTGTAGAGACGGGGTTTCACTAGGCTGGTCTCAAACTCCTGAGCTCAAGCAATCCCCTTACCTTGGCCTCTCAAAGAGCTGGGATTACAGGTGTGAGCCACTGCACCCAGTCTGAGATTGTATTTTTAAATGTGAAGGTAGGAGTTCTGTATTTAAATTTGTATTTCTCTTAATTATTACTAATAGAAAGATAATCCATTAATCCATTTTGATCACTAATTCTGTTCTGAGCTTTTGTGCTTTCCATAATTAAAGGTAATTTACTTAGGTATCTGACATCTCCATTACAAAATGCTCTCCAGTTCCCAGGAGGCCCCTGGAGACCTATGAAGGGCAATTCCAGGAATGCAGCTACAGCAAGACCAAAGGAGCTGCAGGCAGTCACATTTAGGGAACTGTGGCCTTATTTCAAGAAACAATGCTTAGAGGCGGTAGGCAGATGATAAGGTCACACACTTCACCACAAGAGAACGAGACTATGACTCACCAAAAGTCCCTTTCCAAAAACCTTGGGACTTAGAGGAAGAAAACACCTGACATGCGTCATAATAGAATATGTACGTGTTATAGTTTACAGTGTGTGATTGCAGAAATAGGAAAATACAGAACACAAGGGAATGTAATTTGAGCACAGCCCAGCCACATGAATAGGAAGATCAAAAGTGTGTATAAATGAATCATTACTGAATGTATGCTATATATTTAAGTGTTTAGTACATTAAGTATTTACTAAGCCATTGCACTAAACATAATACACCAAAATAATACCATTAAGATTCCCAACACAACTTAAATGGTAATCTTTTTAATTAATGGAGATATTTTAAAACAAATAATCATTTACTGTAATCTTAGAGTTGTCATGAAATTAAATGATTTTTTTAAGATGCTTATTGAGTACTTAAGATATGTCAGATAATGGCTAAGAGTTTTATATGGACTACGTTATTTTATTCTCATAAAGTGGCAGTATTATTCCTATTTTACAACTAAAGAGCTAAGAGGATAAACCCATATCTGCCTGACTCCAATGCTGTTGAGTATCACTTATCCAAAATGCTTAGGACCAGAAATTCAGAATTCAGATTTTTTTTTAATTTAGGGATATTTGCATAAACATAATGAGACAAAGATATCTCATTATGTAGGACCCAAGTCTAAACATGACATTCATTTATGTTTCATATATGCCTTATACATATAGCTTTAAGGCCATTTTATACACTATTTTAAATAATTTTGTGCATGAAACAAAATTTTGACTGCCACCCATCACATGAGGTCAGGTCTGGAACTTTCCACCTGTGGCATCATATTGGCACTGAAAAACTTTGAGATTTTGGAGAATTTTGGATTTCAGATTTTCAGATTAGGGACACTTGACCTGTAATAACATCTTACCTTGGCTGCCCTTTTTTCCCTTTCTTCCTTTCCCACTTCTCTACCACATTTCCTGAGATTACCTACTGTATTAGTTTGCTAGGGCTGTCATAACAAAAACCACAGACTGGGTGGCTGGGTGGCTTAAACAACAGACATTTATTTTCTCACCGTTCTAGAGGCTGGGAAGTCCAAGATGAAAGTGTTGGCAGGCTTGGTTCCTTCTGAGGCCTCCCTCCTTGACTTACAGATGGCTGCCTTCTTGTGTCTTCATGTGGTCATCTCTTTGTGTGCTCATGTGTTGGGGTGTCTCTTTCTGTGTCCAAACTCCTCTTCTTTCAAGAAAACCAGTCAGAATGGATTAAGGCCCACCCTAAGGACCTCATTTTAACTTAGTAACCTTTTAAAAGACCTAATCTTCAAATATGATTATATTTTGAGGTACTAGAGGTTGGGTCTTCAATTTATTGGTGGGGGGACACAATTCAGTGCAAAACACCTACCAAATAAACCACCTCACTTGAAATTTTGTTTCATCATTGGCCTTGGGAAACACAAGCTAAAACATGGAGGATACTGTTTGACACATAGTACTAAATACTTTTTAAGCATTTGTTGTGGGTCTGGTCCACTGACAATGTATTCTCTTAGTTTTCATTTATCTTAAAATGCCTTTATTTCCCTTTTATTCTTCAAGGATTTTTAAAAATAGACTTTATGTTTTAGAGAAGTTTAAGTTCACAGCAAAATTGAACAGAAGATAGAGTTCCCAGATACCTCCTACCTCCACACATGCATAGACTCCCCCATTATCAACATCTCCCACCAGATGGGTACATATGTTACAATTACTGAACTTACACTGATACATTATTATCTCCTACAGTCCACAGTTTACATTAGCATTCAGTTGGTGTTGTACATTCTATAGGTTTTGACAAAGGTATAATGACATGTACCTACCATTACAGTATCACACAGAGTATTTCCACTGCCCTAAAAAATGCTCTGTGTTCTACCTATTCATCTCTCCCTCCCCACCTAATTCCTGGCAACCACTGATCTTTTTACACCTATGTATTTTTGCCTTTTCCAGAATGTCATATACTATAGTTGGAATCATACATTATGTAGCCTTTTCAGATTAGCTTCTTTCACTTGGCAATATGCATTTAAGTTTTCTCCATATCTTTATATGGCTTGATAGCTCATTTCTTTTTAGCACTGAATATTTCATAGTTGATATTTCACAGTCATTTTATCCATTCACCTACAAAGGGACTTCTTGGTTTCTTCCAGTGTTCAGCAGTTATGAGTAAAGCTGCAATAAACATCTTTGTGCATGTTTTTGCGTGAACATAGTTTTCAACTCCTTTGGGTAAATATCAAAAAGTACAATTGCTGGATCATATGGTAACAGTATGTTTAGTCTTTAAAGAAACCACCAAACTGTCTTCCAAAGTTGCTCTACCATTTTGCATTCTTACAAGCAATAAATGAAAGTTCCTGTGGCTTCACATCCTCATCAGCATTTAGTGTCATCTATTTGTAGTAGTAACTCATTGTTTTAACTGGCATTTCCTTAGGGATATTTTTGCTATATGTAAAATGCAAGATACAGATGCTCCTCAACTTACCGTGGAGTTATAAACCCATGATAAATTTATCTGTGATGGATTTAACCCATGGTAAACCCATGACAAATAAAAAATATCACAAGTCAAAAATGCACGTACTACCACCCAATAAAGCCGTAGTAAAGTCAAAAAATCACAAGTTGAAACATCATATGTAGGCAACCATATGTACTTTTACTAGATATGAAATAGATACAGAATTCTAAGTTTTATCCTTTTCACGCTTTAAACATATGATTCATTACCTTGTGGCTTCTAGTAAGAAGGCAGCTGTTTATGTATCATTGTTATCCTATCTACAATGTGCTGCTTTTTCTGGCTCTTTTAAAGATTTGTTTTACTTTCGTTTTCAGTAATTTCATTACAATTTTCCTAGATGTAGTTCTCTTTGCACTTATCCTGCTTAGAATTTGCCAAAATCACATATTTCACCAAATTCGGAAATGCTTTGGCCATTACTTCTTTAAATTTTTGGTCATTCTCTCTCTACTGGGACTCCAATTACACATATTTAAACCTCTTAATATTGTTTAACAAGTCACTGGGACTCTGCTCATTTTCTCCCAGGCTTTCTTCTCTGTTTTCTTTTTTCAAACTGGATAACTTACATTGATCTATTTTCAAGGGTACTAATTCTTTCTTCTTTTATCTCCAATCTGCAGTTAAGCCTATCTAATGAATTTTTAAATATCAGATACTTTAATATCTAGTTCTATAATTTCCATTTGGTTCTTTTTTTTTTTTTTTTTTTTTTTTTTTTTGAGACAGTCTTGCTCTGTCACCCAGGCTGCAGTGCAGTGGCATAATCTTGGCTCACTGTCACCTCTAAGTCCTGGGTTCAAGCGATTCTTGTGCCTCAGCCTTCCGAGTAGCTAGAATTGCACATGCCTGCCACTATGCCCAGCTAACTTTTGTATTTTTAGTAGAGACGGGGTTTCATCATGTAGGCCAGTGCCACCACGCCCAGCTAATTTTTGTATTTTTAGTAGAGATGGGGTTTCACCATATAGGCCAGTCTGGTGTTGAACTCCTGGCCTCAAGTGATCTGCCTGCCCTGGCCTCCCAAGGTGCTGGATTTACAGGCATGAGCCACTGTGCCCAGCCTTTTATGGGTGCAAGAAATCCTCCTGCCTCAGCCCCCAAGTAGCTGGGACTACAGTCACACACCACCATGCCCAGCTAATTTTTTGTACTTTTAGTAGAGACAGGGTTTTGCCACGTTGCCCAGTCTGGTCTCAAACTTGTGAGCTTAAGCAATCTGCCCACCCCAGTCTCCCAAAGTGCTGGGAATCACAGGCATGAGCCACTGCATCCAGCCTGGTTATTTCTTTACGGTTTGTTTCTCTGCTGAGATTTCCTGTATGTTTATTCATTTAAATTATGTTTTCTTTTACATCCTTAGGTATAATTAAAATAACTGCCTTAAAATCTTTGCTAATTACAATATATGAAGCATTCTGTGGTTGGTCTCTAGTGACTGTCTTTTTCTTAGAGTGTTGTTCGCATTTTCCTGTTTCTTCTTATGTCTAGTAATTTGGGGTTGTATCCTGGACATGGTCAGTGAATGATAAATTGGAGAAACTCTGGACTCTGTTATGTTCTTCTCAAGAGTATTAATTTTTGTTTTAGTAGACAGATAACTTGGCAGAACTCAAAATCCATACTCTACCCCCTCTATGTTGGGCAGTAGCTGAAATCTTTGTTCCATTCTTTTAGCCATGTATGGGCTTCTCAGGTTCTGCCCTGCACAGGGATAGTGCAGGAGTCAGCCAGATTTTCAAGCAGATTTTATATTCACAAACTGGGGCTCCTCTTCTATGGCTCTCTCCTTTCTAGAATCTTCTCCCTTACATTCCAGCTGTGGTTGCTCCAAACTCTGACTCTTAATACATAACCTGTATGATTATGAGTCTGTGAGCATTAGCTACCCTGTGCAAGGCTTGCTGGAGCCCACCCTTAGGTAAACAGTCATAAGAAATGGGAAAACTCACCCAATGTCTTTCTTTTCCTCTAAATTTGATTCCTTTCCATTTTCTGCCTACTTTGGTCCCTTCTCAATGCCTTCATATTTTATATATACATATATTTTGTTCAGAGTTTATAAGCATTACTTGTGGAATGTGGAATGGTTGGTCTGATACATGCTACTCTCCCATTAATGGAAGTAGAACCTCATTTTTTTTTTTTTTTTTTTTTTTTTTGAGACGGAGTCTCGCTCTGTCGCCCAGGCTGGAGTGCAGTGGCCGGATCTCAGCTCACTGCAAGCTCCGCCTCCTGGGTTTACGCCATTCTCCTGCCTCAGCCTCCCGAGTAGCTGGGACTACAGGCACCCGCCACCTCGCCCGGCTAGTTTTTTCTATTTTTTTTAGTAGAGACGGGGTTTCACCGTGTTAGCCAGTATGGTCTCAATCTCCTGACCTCGTGATCCGCCTGTCTCGGCCTCCCAAAGTGCTGGGATTACAGGCTTGAGCCACCGCGCCCGGCCCACTGGTCTTGAACTTCTGAGCTCAAGTGATCCACCTGCCTTGGCCTCCCAAAGTGCTGGGATTACAGGCGTGAGCCACCACGGCCGGACAGAACCTCATTTTTTTAACCAAGAAAAATCTGCTCCATATTTAGATATTTGTATCATATTTATATATTTAAATCAACCTGATTGCTCCAGGTTATCATGTTATACTTCGGAGTTTTTTGTTTTTGTTTTTAATCTTTTAAAGATAAACTTTTTGGAAGGAGGACTATGTTCCCCCTCATGTTGTGGTATTCTTTTCTAACTTCTCTGCTGAAAAAAGTAACAAGGCAACCTCTTCTCCAGAACCTCCACACTAATAGGACTTTTGCTTGTTCTGACTTACCCTTCAATTCTACTCCTGTGGATAAGTGAGTAGAAACATTATAGACTAGGAATTTTTTTTCCAAGGTTAAGGACATTGCTGGGAACATTTCCAAGCATCATGTTCAATTATTCTCTTTTTATTGATGAGGATTTTGTCCAGCGTTTTTCTGGAGGTTTGAACAGTAAGTTTCTGAGTTAAGGGGATTTGAGTTCACATCCAGTGTCATAATCTGAAAGGAAAAAGGATTGTCATTCTGGGACAAATGCCAGAGGAGCTGGTAAACACTGCAGAGGGACCCAACCAGGCCACATAGTCAACTTAGTCAAGAAGCCTTTATGTGCCAAACTATGCTGGCCTCGGGGAAAAGACATGAGAGTATACTACAAATGGCTTTTATAAAACAGTTTTCTTAAGATATAATTTACATATCAAATTATATATGTTTTAACAATGAATAATATCTGAATGAATGAATAAAGAGCTCTTTAAACAACTCTCTCAGTAACTACTCAATTGCAGATAAAGAAGGAAATGGTGCCTTATCTCCTCCTCCCAAGTACAATTATTGGAGATGCCCTTGTACATATTCAAAACTGTCTGTGGTGGCATCAACATGGGTGAGTTTCAAGCCTAGAATCATGAGTTTAAAAATGGAAAGAATAGAGATTCAGCACTCAAGGAACTCATTTTGGAAGCTGTCTTTCATCAAGCCTTCTTGAGATGAGAAGAAATCATCTCTGCTTTTTTTCTGGTCAAATCTATATACAGCAGATATATACAGCAGTTATCTCTTTCTCTAACTCCAGCAGCTAAATTCCAGACCTAATCATTAATTTTCTTCATTGGCTATGCCTTTTTCTTGATATCTGGTCTTAATAACAGAGCTTCAAGAGACAAAGGAGGTCACACATGGTTGAATTCTCCATCATCAAACTACTGTTTATTTTAGAGTTTGCAAAAGAGAGGCATTTATCACATGGAACATTTGAAAAGTAACAAAATAAAATCTTACCAGATTTGGCAATCTGTAATTCACTTTTTTTTTTTTCTTTTTTTGGAGATGGAGTCTCACTCTGTCGCTCAGGCTGGAGTGCAGTGGCATGATCTCGGATCACCGCAACCTCCGCCTCCCGGGTTCCAGCAATTCTCCTGCCTCAACCTCCCAAGTAGCTGGGATTATAGGTGCCAGCCACCACACCCAGCTAATTTTTGTATTTTTAGTAGAGATGAGGTTTCACCATGTTGGCCAGGCTGGTCTTGAACTCCCGACCTCAGGTGATCTGCTCGCCTCAGCCTCCCAAAGTGCTGGGATTACAGGCATGAGCCACCATGCCCAGCTTTAAGTCACTTCCAATAATAATTATTCCTAATTACGTAGCTTAAATGTTTCCTTCTTCTTAACAACTTTCCTAACCCTGTTCACCTCACTCCCTGGCTCAGGCACCATTTTCTGTGCTCCCTGTGCATATTTACATTATATTACTTATGACATTACATAAAAAGTGCCTATTTACTTACCTCTCTTCCCCATTGGACAATCTGCTCCTTGAGGACATGCTCTGTCTCTCACTCGACTTTGTATGTTGGCCCTTAGGTCAGTACCTGGAATAAAATAGATACTCAATACATACTTGTTGAATAAATAAATGAATACAAGACACAACTAACATAGGAACATTAACTAACATGCTAAGCAAACAGGCCATGTCCACAAAAATTTCAAGGGAAAGATTTTAGAAGCAAATATGATTTCACGTCTCTGAAACTGACTTTCTTTCTCTTGTAATTTGTGCTTGCAATTAAAATTTGTGCCTGGACTTCTAAAAGACATTTCTGTGATAAGTCATGATGACTATGGCATTTGCCATCTTTTAACAGATTAGAAATGCAAGACTTGTCCCTTAAAGGAAATCATTTTTGAACTGTGGCTTCTTCATAGTAAAAAGGATTCTACTAAAATCTTTAGAAATGTAAGAGAAAATATTTAGTCTAGTAACCCTTTCTCTAATTATTCATAATGTGCTACATAATCAACTCTATTCATTTCTCTCTCAGCATCTTGTCACTGATTAGAAAAGAGAGAGGTTGAGGCCAGGCACAGTGGCTCATAGCTGTAATCCCAGCACTTTGAGAAGTGGAAGTGAGAGGATTGTTTGAGCCCAGGAGGAGACCAGCCTGGGCAACATAGTGAGACTCCATCTCTATTTAAAAAAATTTTTTTAAGAGGGGTTGGAATGTATTAGTGGGAACCTGTTTAACTTACTGTGAGGTTAATATTGGATACTTAGTTCTGATAATTAGCTGGTCTCGGTTATTACATCTCACTTTTCCTCATAGCAGTGCCATTTGTAAGTTATGTTTTACTTTAGACTCTGGGGAAAAATATACTTCTGATCATCCAGCAAACCTTTATCCACTGTCACCATGTCAATGTAAAACCAGTGTTAGCAGCAGGGCCGAGAAACTGAGTTTTTAATAGTAGTGGTAGGCCGGGCACGGTGGCTCAAGCCTGTAATCCCAGCACTTTGGGAGGCCGAGATGGGCGGATCACGAGGTCAGGAGATCAAGACCATCCTGGCTAACACGGTGAAACCCCGTCTCTACTAAAAAATACAAAATATTAGCCGGGCGTGGTGGCGGGCGCCTGTAGTCCCAGCTACTCGGGAGGCTGAGGGAGGAGAATGGCGTGAACCCGGGAGTCCGAGCTTGCAGTGAGCTGAGATCCAGTCACTGCACTCCAGCCTGGGCGACAGAGCGAGACTCCGTCTCAAAAAAAAAAAAAAAAACCTAGTAGTGGTAGTGGTTGGGCCAATAGATATGGCCTGAAAATAGGATTGTTTTCCTTTCTGGAAAGAACTTAACCCCATCCTTTCACTTCCCAAAAGGTTTACCTTTTAAAAGTGAGATGCTGGTTTTTGTCCCAGAATAGTAAGCCAACCACTTCCCACTCAATTTCCCAGCAGATAATTCTGTATTACCAGCACGTTCTGTGGAGGAAATTCAGTTTCTGGGTAGAAAGGGGAGTCCTCTAGGGAAATGGGAAGGAAAGAAGTGAGATAAGAAAAATTTTTCTTTTTTTCTCTTTTTCTTTTTATTAAATACGGACAGGGACTCACTATGTTGCCCAGACTGGTCTCCAACTCCTAGGCTCAGGGGATCCTCCCTCCTTGGCCTCCTAAAGTCCTGGGATTACAGGTATGAGCGACCATGCCCTGCCAGGTTTGTTTGTTTGTTTGTTTGTGATGGAGCCTCACTCTGTCACCCAGGCTGGAGTGCAGTGGCACGATCTTAGCTCACTGCAACTTCCGCTTCTAGGGTTCAAGCGATTCTCCTGCCTCAGCCTCCAGAGTAGCTGGAACTGCAGGTGCATGCCACCATGCCAAGCCAATTTTTGTATTTTTAGTAGAGACAGGGTTTCACTATGTTGGCCAGGCTGGTCTTGAGCTCCTGACCTCAAGTGATCCGCCCGCCTCACCTTCCAGATTACTGGGATTACAGGCATAAACCACCGCACCTGGGCCAAGTTTTTTTTTCCATTTTCTTTTTGTTTCTTTGTTTGTTTGTTTTTAAGGAAATGTTGATGGAAGAAACAAATGAACTTGTATATGTTGGCAAGTAAAAAAGAAAGCAACAGGCCAGGTGCAGTGGCTCACACCTGTAATCCCAGCACTTTAGTAGGCCAAGAAGGGTGGATTACTTGAGCTCAGGAGTGCAAAACCAGCCTGAGCAACATGGCAAAACTCCATCTCTACCACAAATACAAAAATTAGCTGGGTGTGGTGGCACATTCCTGTAGTCCCAGCTATTTGGGGGGCTAAGACAGGAGGATCCCTGGAACTCAGGAGGTCAAGGCTACAGTGAGCTATGACCATGCCACAGCACTCCAGCCTAGGTGACAAAGTGAGACCCTGAGGTCGTGTCTCAAAAAAAAAAAAAAAAAAAAAGAAGGCAACAAAGAGAAGGAGAAGAAATTAGACAATAGGTATTATGTTACATAAACTGTTTAAAGATAAAGGAAAGACTTATTTTTCAATTCTCCCCACCATTAGAAGATGTATAATGTAGGGGTTCTGTAGCAATGGTATCTAGCTCAGGTGCCAGGCCATTTTAGGCTAAAATCTTCACTCTGTTGGGAGGCCAAGGCCGGCAGTTCACTTGACAGGAGTTTGAGACCAGCCTGGCCAACATGGTGAAACCGTGTCTCTATTAAAAACGCAAAAATTGGCCAGGCATGGTTGTGCATGGCTATAATCCCAGCTCCTAGAGAGGCTGAGGCATGAGAATCGCTTGAACCCAGGAGGCACAGGTTGCAGTGAGCTGAGATCATGCCACTGCACTCCAGCCTGGGTGACAGAGGGAGACACGGTCTCAGAATAATAAATAAATAAATAAATAAATAAATAAATCCTCACTCTGCCACTTGCTAGGCTTCCCAGATCCTCAATTTCTTCATTTGTAAATGGGGTGATAATAATAGTTTCTACTTTAAAGTGTTTTTTTTTTGTTGTTGTTGTCATTTTTGTTTTTTTTGAGATGGAGTCTCGCTTTGTTGCCCAGGCTGGAGTACAGTCGCACAATCTCAGCTCACTGCACCCTCCGCCTCTGGAGTTCAAAAGATTCTCCTGCCTCAGCTTCTTGAGTAGCTGGGACTACAGGCATGCACCACTACACCCGGCTAATTTTTGTATTTTTAGTAGAGACAGGGTTTCACCATGTTGGCCAGGCTGGTCTCGAACTCCTGACCTCAAGTGATCTGCCCACCTTAACCTCCCAAAGTGCTGGGATTACAGGCATCAGGCACCGTGCCCGGCCTGAAGTGTTGTTTTAAGGATTAAATGAGATAATGTACATGATGATATTTGCAAGTATTCAACAAATATTGGCCATTATTATTGTTTTTAGGTATTCTGCCATATGGTCCTTAAACATTGGTAGTCCCCTTTTTATTTCATTTCCTTGGAAGTGAAAAGACTGTAAAGGAAGAGGCATAAATCCATGAACTGAAGTTTCTTGAGAATAAGGACCATATCTAATTTATTATTGTATTTCCAGTTTCTAGCATAGTGTTTAGCACACAGACAGTAAATATTTCTTAAGGAAATGGAAGAACCACTAATATAAAACATAGCTTTGATTATAAGTGTTATGGTTGAATTGTGTCCCCTCAAATTCCTATGTTGAAGTTCTAGCCCCCAGTACTTCAGAATGTGACCTTGTTTGGAAATAGAGTTATTGATATAATTAAGGTAAGGTCATGCTAGAATAGGATGGGCCCCTAATGTAATACGAATGGTGTTTTTATTAATTTTATTTATTTATTTGTTTTTGGGATGGAGTCTCACTCTGTCGCCCAGGCTGAAGTACAGTGGCGCTATCTCAGCTCACCACTACCTCTGCCTCACGGGTTCAAGCGATTTTTGTGCCCCAGCCTCCCGAGTAGCTGGGATTACAGGCATGTGCTGCCACACCCAGCTAATTTTTGTATTTTTAGCAGAGACGGGGTTTCGCCATGTTGGTCAGGCTGGTCTCAAACTCCCAACCTCAGGTGATCCACCTGCCTCGGCCTCCCAAAGTGTTGGGATTACAGGTGTGAGCCACCGCCACCGGCCTGCTGTTTTTATTAAAAGGGGAAATTTGGGGACAAACATGCACACTAGGGAGAATGCCGTGTGAAGATGGAGGCAGAAGGTAACGCATTTGCAAGCCAAGAAATGGGAAAGATTGTCAACAAAGCACAAGGAGCTAAGGGAGAGGCATGAAACAAATTCTTTCTCGCAGCCCTCAGAAGAAACAAACCCTGCCAACACCTTGATCTTGAATTTCTAGCCTCCAGAACTATGAGACAAACTATTTCTGTTGTTTAAGCCACCCAGTGTGTGATACTTTGTTATGGCAACCCTACCAAACTAAGACAGCAAGTCAGTACTGTCATCATCTTCATAGGCTGTCATTTTGACTGGTTTAAATCTAGTCTGAAAGAGAAGGTTTCATCTATATTATTTTATATAAGCAGGCATTATTCAAACCAAACAAAAGCAAGCACAAAGTGAAAATGCTCTTTGGTTAGGCACAATTCTAAAAGGTTATCTAAGTAAGTTTTTTGGGGACCAGCATCATATTACTAAGTTCTGTGCCAGGAACATGCTTAATTCCTGACATAAATGCTAAATTTGTAGCTACAGTAAGCAGACTGAGAACAACAACAGAACAGTTTTCATTGTTTAATTTTCCTCAAGTCAAAATTCTATAACCACCTTTAATACTATTACAAAAACATTGTAACAGGTTTACAGGGCAGTTAACACAAGTAAACAAAGCTTCTGATTATGGCAGTATTTCCTTTTAATTCTTAAGAATAACAGACTATAAATGTAACAATAAACTATAAAGGGCTGGGCACGGTGGTTCACGCCTGTAATCCCAGCACTTTGGGAGACTGAGGTGGGTGGATCACCTGAGGTCAGGAGTTCAAGACCAGCTTGGCCAACATGGTGAAACCCCATCTCTACTAATACAAAAATTAGCCAGGCATGGTGGCGGGCACCTGTAGTCCAGCTGCTCGGGAGGCTGAGGCAGGAGAATCGCTTGAACTCAGGAGGCAG